CAAGGAGCCCGATGTGGGACTCGATCCCAGAACCCTGGGATCATGACCTGAGCCGAAGGCAGACGCTTAACGACTGAGCCACCCAGGCGCCCCAAGCATGGTATTTTTTAACCTATATTTATTTTCCTATATTTTTATAGAAGTCTCTGGAAGCGTTAATAGAGAGTTCACATTCAAACATCTTAGTAAGTAGATATATTAACTTAACAATTAATCCACCAAAATCATAACAATGTTTATAATTAATTTTGGAAATCTACAGCTAGTCAAAACACTATATTCCACATTATTCTAAGTATCTAACCCGAGACTCAAATCCAACATTCTGGTGACACTGTACCTTCAGAAGACCAAATGCAGTAGCCTGTCTTGAAGTATCATAAATGTCTTCCTCAGCATATGCTAGTAGAACTTGAAGCTGCTTCTCGGTTATCTGGTAAGACTTCACTTTCTTCACAAGTATGGTCACACACTGCAAATTACAATAGTGAGGTTAATAACCAGGACATCCTACAAATGAAGATCCACTGAAATGGTATGGACTTCATACAACATTAATGCTTTTTTACACAGGATACCAATCCTCTGGCCTTAGCAAATTAATCTGGAAAAAATTCTGGCCAAGACTACAAAGGACGATGGAGAAAACTATACTTTTGATGTTAATTCTGGTCCTGGCTATTTTAAGCACAACTGAAAACACCTCACCTTGAAACAATTTACCACCAGGTGGAAGTTCTGGCCCCTGGCAGCTCCAAGTTTTGCATAGTCCTTCAGCAAAAGGAAAAGGTGTTTGGTCAGCTGTTCTGCTTTTGTTTCTATGGAAGGCAGAGGGAACCTCAAGACCCAGATCAGGCATTGTAAAGCACCTGTGATCACCTGAAAAACAAAAATAAAACCGATCAACTTGTGTAGTGACCAAATGTAATAACCCAGCACCCAAGGCTGGGTAGACTCTAAAAGCAATCAAGTTGAAAGAGTGAAATACTCTGCCCAGCCCAGTCTGGAAGCACTATACCAAAAGCCTAAGAAGATAGAAAGGTTTCCTATTCTCTACGGTAGAACTTATTGTTTCTCCATGGCAAGTAAAGATATATTGCAAGCAAGTAAGAAAAAGTGGTCACTGTATTCTTAACCTGTATGAATAAATGATTGGATGGGTTGGCCAATTTTAGCACCTTTGTTTTGTGTGTGGAAAAATACATTATAAATGACTTCTATTTTCTAGAATGGTACTTTATCCATTCTAAGCATATGTGTATAAGGTATTCCATATATTAGAAATACAAAGATAAAGAGAACATGGTCCCCCTATTTTCATTCTTTTTTTAATTTTTAATTTTATTAAGTAGGATCCATGCCCAGTGTGGGGCTTGAACTCACGACCCTCAGTTCAAGAGTTGCATGCTCTACCAACTGAGACAGGCGCCCCACACCCTTCCTCTATTTAAGGAACAGACAGCTGGCTCAGAAATTAAGCATGGGAACAATACACTATAGAATTTAACATAGTTAAGTGCTGTGCAAAAGATATGAAAAACATATGCTGGGACCAAGCAATTACATGAGAATCTATGAATCTCTGGGCTAAACCTTAGAGATTGTTGAGATCACCTAGTTCAGCTCTACCTAACAGACCCATGCTATTCTGGTTGCTGTAATGGTCTTTTTGGACTGAATTAGGTGAAGACAAAGGAAAGGCCTTGGGAGTCACAAAGGCCAGGGATCATATCCCAGCTCTGTAGTTTATTACCTATTTGACTGCAGAGATGTTACTTAACCTCCTGGCACCTTCACTGTAAGAAAGGCAATCAGAAAATGGGAGAAGTGTAGGCTCTGGAGTCTGACAGACTGAGGCTCATATACTAGATCTGTGATCTGGGCCAAGTCACTTAGCCCAAGGCCTAGTTTTCTCATCCATAAAACAGAAGCATTAATAATACGGTGCCTCATGGGTCATTATGAGGATTCATACCAGTGGGGGCTAGTAGTATCAAGGTTGATGAAGAGGATTAGTGCTGACACGGGGACCCCACTACTCACCCTCATAACACTGTTGTGAGGATCAAATGAAATAAGTAACGTACGTCCCAGGGCTTGTAAAACTATTAAAGGCTATCCAAATACATGGGATTATTACATTGGAAAGCAATGTAATGCAGGGAACAGAGGTAGTTTATAATATCATAAATCCACTTAAAAACTCAATCATCTTGTGAAGCACAAGCCTTGAAGTTCTGGATATTTTGCACAACATGGCTCTTGTGAAGGAACAGAACTCACCTTCACATCCATGGAAACCAGGCAGTCTATAAGGAGAGAGACAAAAGGATCCAACATTTCCAGAATAGGTTCACTTGAAGACTTGATCTTGGAAGTCTTCAGACTCAGATGTAGCAGCTAAAAGATTCAAAACGATATTTTACACCAGTTGCCCACAAGACCAAATGAGTTAGGTAAAGGTGAAGTGATTTTAAGAGACAAGCATGAAATGTTAAGATGCTTCTGTCCTAATGTGACAAAATTTTGAAGGAATGGGAAAGGGCCTGGGAGACTCTTGTAAGTGAAGAAAGTGGGAGCTCAGGGTGGAGGTGAGATGCTAAGTTCATTTACCAAGTGATTACTCAGCATTTACTGTGATTCAGGTGCTGGCTCTGCACATAGGACACAGCAGTGATCAAGATGAACATGGTCCTGCATGATGGATCTTAGCCAGGAAGACAGACTAGCAAATAATTAATTGTAAATGCAGTGTGCTTTGAGACTTCTGTGGGGACCCAGGCAAAGGGAGGAGCATGTGGTGAGGTCCTGGAGTGGGAAGAGTGTGGGGACTAAAGAACAGAAGCCTGGGGGCTGGGATGTGTGCTGCAATGGTACAAAAGGAAGCTAGGCCTCATAGCCCAGATGAAGGACTGGGCTCTCAGGAAAAAAGGGAGCCAATGAAGGGTTTTAAAAGGAAATAAATGATCAAATTTTTGTTTTTAGAAGCTCACATCTTTTTTAAAAAAATTCAAAATAAATTTAGAGAAGTCCATACAAAACAATAGTGAACCCATAATAATAATGTTAGAGGTCAGAATCATTAATTCTGAGATAGTTATATTATCAAAATAAGTACTGGAAGAGAGAAATGGTAAATGGACCAATTCACCTTTAAAAAAAAAAATCCCATAATTTACTTATAGTAAGGCATTTACAGTGGAAATGAGCAGTACTAGAAATCTAGCAGAGAATTAAAATAGGCACACTCACTGTGGGTAGCAAATTGCATTTTAAGGTTAATTCTTACCCGAAGCCCGGACTCAATAAATATGTGCATGTTGGTTTTCCTGCTCACAACAGCTTTCTGCCCACCTCGAACTGGAGTTGGGGGGAGCAGAAGACAGCTCTCGGGTGGGAGACGTGGATCTAGTGCAGGGGCTCCTGGATTTCTGTCAATCACGAAGGAGAAACAGGGAGAAGAACACTGTACGCTGCATTCCAAGCAGTTATTGTGGCCCTGCCTGGTGACTGGAGCCCAGCGCTAAGTAATGTGCTGCTCATTGTGGGCATTTTCTCTCCTTTAACCGTGAGAAACAAGAGATTCTTAGGTTGTTCATCAAGGTTGTACACAACCCCAGAAAGAGATATGAGACTGATGAACACACAGTTAAGATGAATAGTAAGGAGATACTCCATCTGAATTTTGAAAACATATGCCAAGGAGTTTCTTTTAGAACCCAGAAGCAAAATCCCAAAGGAAGGTATTTTAAAACCTTTTAAGGTCTAAATATCTGTTTAATCAGTATATATTTAAAATCTACCCTAACTTTGATTCAATAAATAAAACAAAAATGGTCTCAGAGAAATGCCAAAATACCTGGCTGCTAACTCATTCATTTATTGGAAAAATAATCTCAAGGTGAAATTTATCACTTGGAAGGACATTAGCTCAAACACCACTAAGTAGTACCATCTTATAACTCAGGCAAATACATATATATATATACACACACACTACTAAGGTAAATTATTAAATTAATCCACTTACGAGTAAGAACTGAATGGCTTAGCAGAAGCAAGCACCTAAGGATAGGTTTTTTGTTTTTTTTTTTTCTTTCAAACTTACTTTTCTTTTTCTGTTAACAGGGGGAGATTTTCACTGACCAAACCATAACTGAGCAATAGAATGGATTCTGCAGTCATTTCCTGATTTACAATTAATCCTGCTATGATTCGGCGCAAGGTTTCATGAACTTTCCGGGCCAGTTTTAAACTTGTGGTATTTTGTAAGATCTAAAGGCAAACATAAATATCATGCTGAGGTAACACAGAACTGCATTTTCATTTGTTGTAATGGTAGTTTTTAAAATATATATTTGCTTTTTAATATACTTTTGGTTTTGTTTTCTAATTAAAAAAGAAACATTCTTAATAAAATTTCAAACAGAACATACAAAGTATTATCTACACATAACCTCAATTCCAGAGACAACCACTATCAGCAGGAAGTGCACCTCTGGATATCTTGTACTCCCTCTTGTGCTCTCTGTTGGTGAGAATTCACTCTGTTGGTGACACTTGGAAGATGTCAACCCTCTAAGCGCATTAGAGGAAAGCACACACACATAGACATCAACAAAATGCAGTCACTACTCATCCGAAGCCATGCTAATAAAGTGCTGTGATGGCCAAGCCTCAGGGTTTGATATTAGTCATTGGGCCAAATCAGAGGAACTTAATGGGAATCCAAGACCACCAACCCCAACACAAACCTCAGCACTATAAAGCTATTCCCTTCCCTTGCACAGGACATGGTATTAATAACTTTCATTACCTTGGAGGAACTTGATAATATACATGGAAAATTCACATGCTCTGTTGACTTTTTTTCATCATCAAAACATACCTAACATTCTTAGTTAGATAAGATTAATGCATGGTAGGAACAATTACAGAGTTAATCTAACACCAAAACATTTGGAATTATGGTTAATTCATGTCATTAAATAGTGCTGGTTTTAGCACATAAAATTGTAATAAAAGGAATTATTAACATTTATTGAATGTTCACTCCTGCAGTAGGCACAGAGAACATTATAAGGGTAAGTAAACTACAGTCCCTGCCCAATAGGAGGCAGAATGAAAACAGTGCAGAACGCCAAAGATACAAATGTAGGGATCTGAAGGGGTACATGCACCCCGATGTTTATAGCAGCAATGTCCACAAGAGCCAAACTGTGGAAAGAGCCAAGATGTCCATCAACAGATGAATGGATAAAGAAGATGTGGTATATATATACAATGGAATATTATGCAGCCATCAAAAGG